GATGGCTTTGGTTTATGAGAACCAATTAATGCATGACAGATACCTGGAATCCTGTTCTGATTCTCATTCTCCAACCTTCTCTCCCCACTATCCATTTTTCTCTTTCTCTGACTCTCTCTCTCTCTCTCTCTCTCTCTCTCTCTCTCTCATACACATACACACACTCCACTGATAGTTGTACTATTACTACAACAGTTGAAACATTATCATTAGAAAATGGATGCGTTGGAAGTGCACACATAACAGAAGCAAGAGATGGGGTCCACAGGCTTCCTGAGCCATCCATAGTAGGTTGAAGATGGGAAAAATCTGGGAAGCATCCAGATAGGTAGTCTTCTTTTACACTTGAGGAAAATGAGACCTGAAGAGAACAGTCAGTGAACTGGGTAGTCTACAGAACTTCCTGTCAAAATCAAAATGAAGCTGATTTGACCCACAGCTTACCTATATCCCTTCATCTCCAGCCCACAACTGCACTTAGGTGACATCTTTTGTGTTCTACTTATACCTGAAGAAGGCTGCCACATTGGCCTGCAGCATTCATTCTAAGCCAGGATTTGCCACCAGAACAGGGGGAAGGAGGAAGAAAGTCATAAACTGGGGGCTTAGTTTTCTAAGGGCCTCATCTTGCCCTTCACAGTGCTGAGGAGAAGGGCTGATATTCAAAGTGCTGTGATGGTCTGTACAGAGCCCTACAGCCAGCTTGAGCAGGCCAGATCCAAACCAGATCTCCTTCTCAAGCCCTGGGTACTTCTTCCCAGGCCTCCCTGTTCCATTGTCTTCTGGGACCTCTAGCCTCAGTCCAAAATTCATTTTGGCCTCACAGGAATGACCCCAGAGGCTGTGGTTTGTTGACGGAGAAAGAGAGAGGATGGAGTATGTGCCCAGGCCATTCTAAAGGCCAGGCACTGAGCTACATTCCAAAATTTCCTTCTCTTCTGCTTAATACAAACCCAAACCAGCAGAGGAGAGCCACAATGAGGTCACTGCATTCCAAATGGATACAAAGTGTCTTTGTCCAAGGCTCCTAGGCTTCTGGCCCTGGCTAACTCTGGCTGGCAGGAGCAGACTGAATGTTCTTTCGCCATGGAAAAGAGAGCATTCTCAGAATCTCAGCACAGAGCATTGAAGAGCAAGTACTGTACACAGACTCGTTTAGGCACACACACACACACACACACACACACACACATCTAGGAACAAACACTGAAGGATAAACATACCTGACATTCAGCCCAACATGATCTTCAGAAGATTCCAAAAATATTCCAGTCCTCCAAGGATCAGTGTCTTGGGGTTTGATCATTTCTGATTTCCTCAGTTTTCTTCTCTGTAAAAGGGGGATAACAATACACACTTGGAATGATTATTATAAATCTAGACAAAATTGTATAACCCCAATCTGGTATTTGCATCAATAAGTTACAATGTATGCTATTATTATTAGTTGGGGCAACTTTTCAGGACATAGTCATTCCTCCTTTCTCCTGCCTACCCAGAAAGGTTGGTATCCCTACGCCAGAACCCCACTGGCCATCTTGATGGAAAAAGTGCTGCCATTAGGAGGCATATGACCTGTCACGTGCCAGTTGGGGACTCTTCACCATAAATTAGGGATGGTGCAAGAGAGAATTAAGTTTTCCAGGTGACTCAGACTTTAACTCAACATTGTACAATGTGGATTACAAAGAATAAGAAACCAGTTTATAGAACCTGAGGAAGACTTAGGAAGATAAGCAGGACATGGAGAAAGAAGACAGAGCATACTGGCCATTCTTGGAGCCCAGCTACATTCTTTGGCTCCTAAGAGACAACTGTATAGCCTTGCAGCACATCTTGTTTTCCCATACTAACTTGAGTTGGTTTCTGTTGCTTGCAACCAATTTATCCACCCTAGGAAATGATGATGATGATGACAGTATCTCTACAGTGATGATCCTATGCATATAGAATATATCTCTGATCTCTGAATCCCCAAAGTGACTTAAGAATGTGGCTTTGTGTCCCTCTTTAAAAAAATAATGATATAACCAACCCTAGGGCAATCAACAAACCTTTCCTCACCACTATCATTAAATATGAGGAAGAAAGTTGACTGGGTATGAAAACAAAATACCTGTCTGATTCTCCTATTTACCTGAAGTCTGCTTTAGAATATACTAACTTTGCATGATTCTTTGGAGCTCTGTCATTTGCCTTGGACAAATAGTTTTGCTGAGCTTCAGATATGTTAAACGATACTACCATTGTGAACAGTTGCAGGTAAAGTTTCAGACAAAGTTGAGTGTTCAGTGAGTGGTAGTAATTATTATTAAGTTTTCCCTCTTTGTTATTGACCCACAAAACTTCCCAGTACACATTTCTAGGGTTCTTCTAATATTATCCCCAAATATAAAAGAAAAGACCCTGAAAGCAGAAGAGTATGGAAATTTTATTTCTCCATGGTTGGTCTCATGCAGTTCTAGAATGAGGATGCTGGTGGAGACCCTGCAGCCTTCAGTAGCTCCAGCTTGGCACTATCCAACCCACCCTTAGCCAGCATGGTCTTTCCTCTTCTTTTGGGCAGCCATGTTTACTAGTAGTCACCATTTTACTAAGAATTCTGGAAAGATAAAGACCAAACCAAAACTAGAACCAATGATCTCTCCTACTTGCAAGAAGCTTACAATAAATACTTTTATAAAGCAGCACAATTACCAGCTAGTGTGGCACAAATGAAAGGTCTGCATGCAATAAAGATCCTGAGTACAGAGCTAAGCAGAGGCTTAGTTCTCAATCATGGTTGGAAGGAATAAAAGTCAGAATGATGAAAGGGAAATTGGGAGGGAAGAAACTAGAGTTCAGAATGTGTAACATTCTTCACATGTCAATCAGTTATTCAAGAGAGAACACACTTAAGCAAAATTTTTCTCAAGTTATCTAAGAGTAGCTGTGTCATCTGAATGAACGAATTCTCTAATACAGATGCCTTCAACTTTGGCTGCACCCTGAAACCACCTGTTTTGTTTTGTTTTTTGTTTTTTAATATTGATAGTTGCTTGGTCCTGTCTAGAGAGAATGTGATTTCATTGGTCTGCCCAGGAATCAGGATTTTTTTCCAAAGCTCCTCTCAATTCTAATGTGCAGGCAAGACTGAAAATCACTGCTTTACACAATGAAGATAAGTAGGGTAGGGACAGAAAACCTGTGGGTGTTTTCTCTGTTGATGTGAACAGCTGAGTGTGGAAAGCTGGACAACTGGGGCCATGGGTAAAGGAGATAGTCTCATATATGTGATCCTCACACTTCCCCAGAATCTGATTTCACCCCTACAAGTGACCTCAGCCTAGGCATTCTTCCAACACCTGCTCTGTTGCCACACTGTTCAGACCTCCCAGGCTGATGCCCAGGCAGTAATGGTGCAGAGAGGAACTTTCAGTGCCTAGTGCCCGATAGACGACTCATTGTGAGAAAGGAAGGTCAAGCCCAGACCAGTGGGCGGCACTCGCCTTTGCTGGTGATCTGGACAAAGGGACTGTTGGTAACTGCATTTTTCCAAAGTTCAGATTATAATTTGAGCTCATTGATGCTGTTCTCATTTTGGCACATGTCAGGGCTGGGGAGAGGGATGCATGAAGAAGCAGGAAATAGCTTCATCTCATTGCTTCAAGCCCAAGGGAGCTCTGGAAACCTATCCAACTCTAACTCATTCCAACTTTAATTAGCAGACCCAATGTATGGTTTAGACCTAGAATGTCCCCCCAAATTTTCATGTGTGTGGAAGGTGATTGGGTCATGGAGGTGCAATACTCATTAATGGATTTATCCACTAATGAGTTCAGTAGCTAAATGTTGTGTTGGGAGGTGGAGCCTGATCAGAAAAGGCAGGTCACTGGGGGTGTGACCCAGGTTCTCCCTTGTCTCTGTTTCCTGGACACCATGAATTGAGCAGCTTTCCAGTTCTGGTATTTTATATCTATATCTCAGCTTTGGCTAATCTATAATCAACACCTGTTATGTAAGGCACCATGAACTGAAACAAGGGAATTACAGACAGACCCTCTGCACTAGTAGAGAACAGTTTCAAGAGGCTCATGAGTTGATTCCTTTCAGTGATCAACACCCATTTACCCACATTTAACCCTGCATCCATTCTGCACTGTATACCACATCCCCTCAGGTAGAGTTGATTGGATGAATGTTGAGACCCTGACCCAAAGTGGAACACTCAGAGGTTTCTCCCAGGAATTAGTGAAAAGAGTTTCACTCTCTCCACATGACTGGAGTCCATGACTGGACCCTCACTGTGCTATAACTCAAGAGCTACTATGGAGTAGGCTTTCTGCTGGAGGTCCAAGAAGCAGAGAAGGAAGATGACACAAAATAAGCTGGAACAAATCTTTCATCTGGCATCAGTGCCCACCTGAGTCTCAGATATATTCCTGCCCTTGGGTTCTACAAGACATTGGTACAACCTTCAGTATAATAATAAATTATACTTTTAAAATGTGAGCAGTCTTTCACGATTTCATTCCTTTGTGGAATCTAAAAATGACAAATTCATAAGAAGAGTGGTTACTAGGGGCTGGGCCAGGTAGGAGGGTGGGGATTGGAGAGGCATTGGTCAAAGGATATAAAATTTCAATTAGACAAAAGGAATCAGTTTCAGACATCCACTGTAGAACTATAATTGACTATGGATAACTATAGTTAATATCAATGAGTTGTATACTTGAAATAGCTTCAAGAATAGATTTTAAGTGTTCTTACTACAAATAAATATGAGAAGTAATATATATGCTACTTGACCATTCCATGATATGTTCATATTTCAAAAATGTCATATTGTACAACATAAATGCTATGGTTTGGAAATGTCCCTGAAAGGCTCATAGTTAAAGGCTTGGTTGTCATCCTGTGGCATTGTGGCACAACCTTCAGGATGTGGAGCTTAGTGGAAGGAGGTTAGGTCACTGGGGAGATACTGGAACTCCATTCTCTTTTCTTTGTCTCTCTCTTAGCTTCTTGACTACTGTGAGGTGAATGGCCTTTTGCAACATGCACTCCCACCATAATGTACCATATGTCCAAAGCATCGTGGCCAAGCAACCATGGACTGAAACCACTGAAACTGTAAGCCAAAATAAACCTTTCTTTCTTTTGAAAAAATAATGTAAGCTGTCTTGAGTTTATTTCTATGATTCAGAACTAGTAATTATAAAAATTTATATTTATGTTACACTTACTTATTGCCAGACACTGTTCTAAGCTCTCTATATTAACTCATTTAATTTTCATAGTATACTTCTGAACTACTACTATTATGATTTCCAATTTATAGATAAGGCAACTGAGGTACAAAATGATTAAGTGAGTTACCTTAGATCACAAAGACTAAATAATATTTAAAAATACAGCCCTTGTGGGACCATATTCAGATTCTACTTACAACATTCTTGTAAAAACTCCATCAAGGGACAAGCCACTAGGTTTTGAAGTTAATACTGACATAAGACATTGGGCAAAGTGCTCAAAAAGCCACAGTTTAAAAAATATAAGGAGCAGTTAGTGTGGGCCAGGGAGCTTTTCTAGAGAAGGTGGAATAAATGTGGAGAGGAAGATCAGGATGAGCACCAAAAGAATGGTCAGCCAATAGCATGGAGATGACAGTGACCAGCATGGGCCAGAGCAGTGAAGATCTCAGTCTGACTGGCTCAGAATCTAGGTGCTAGGTGCCTTGAGACTCATAGCAAGGACAGGTATGGCAGAGCCATGCTCCCTAAAGAATTACAAAGACAAGAGAGAGCAGTCCTCTGCCCCAGGCCAGCAAACCTGTCTGTGGATTCTGAAATACAGCCCAGGTTGCAAGGCTACATTGCCAGCCTCGTTTCACAAAAGTAAATACTCATCACTGAGAAATACAGAAAGGAACAAAAGCCCCATGATGCTTCAAATCCTTTTTCTGTGGTGTTTGCATAATGTGGAGCTTTCACGTGCTCAGGAGGCAAATGATGGGGGGAGCAGGGAAAGATCCAGGATGGAGCCTCAAGCATTAAAGTAAAAAATAGATTTCAATAAAACATGATATAAAAACAAGAAATAACTGTAAATGGAATTGAAAGAAAATGACATAAAACTCCAGCACAAGGCTGCTCATTGCAATTCTGGAAACTTTACTTCCCACAGCTGCACAGCCTTCAGTATTCAGGACTCTTTTTCTTTTCACTCTTGTGAATTTGTTACTTGTGGTGACATATGGCAGCTCTCTGGCTTCACATAGCTCCTGTTGTCCCTCTAAACCTCAGGTGACTAAGGCTGGATGAATTTCCATGCCTCCCCAGGAAGAGGAGCATGACCTGGTTACAACTAATGGGGAGGTCAGGGCCAGGATTGCAAGGGCTCCTATAGAGAGGGCAGATGTGGTCCCAGAAGGCTGTGGTTGCGTGACCAGGTTTTAAGGGAGTCAGAGTAGGTTAAGATAGGCTGGGGCTTGTCTCAGGGTGACAGAAAACTTATAACACCCCTGCAAAGGCAGCACAGGTCCTCCCTAGCCAAAGTGTGTCTGCTGGAAGCCCTGGCACCTGACATCCATACATTTTCCTAATACAGTCCTCAAGTTCCTGTCTGATATCTTCTTCTTCTGGAACATTCTGTTCTTTCCTCTCTGGGAAATTAGCCAGGCCATGTCCACCCTGCCAGCCACCTCTCTTCTATCAGATTGAAGGAGGTTAGAGTCAGTGACCTGTAAATTCTCCTTCCCCTCCCAGGGTATACCTTGGAATTGTTAACATAAAATGCTTCTTCTTGACGTGATTAGAGTGGGAAGATTCCTTTTTTGTTGGAGGTCTTACATCTGTTATCTTCTTTATTTCTCATCTTAAACCTAAGTAATAGGAATAACACCTCATTTTACATCTGGGAAAACTAAGGCTTGTAGAGGTTAGAGGAAATTGTATGGTGAGGAGACCGGTACATGTAAGCATAGCCTAAGTGAATAAAGCTGATTTTGTCTCATTTCTTATTTTTGCAGCAACAAACCTTAAGCAAGTGACTTACTCCCTTGTTAAGAATAATGAGATAGTACTGCAGACACCACAGTACATAATAAGCACTTAATAAGTGGTAGCTGCTGGCGGCAGTAGTCATTGTTGTAGAAAGTAACTTGCTCAGGATCGTATGGCTACCAACAGATTGAAGTAGGGTGTAAGCCTGATCTCTCACTCCACAAAGTCTACGTACTTTCCATTAAGTTGTGCTCTCTCACTGAGTGTATCAGGAACAATAAAACTAACCACTTATTGGACATTAACAAAGTGCTAGGTATTGGGTTGGGTACTTTGCATGAATGATTCCATTCAACTTTCTTAAGAGCTACAAGGTAGGTGGCATTATTCTCCTTATTTCTACATGTGGAGACTGAGGTAAAGTTTCTATACCATTCAGCTCCAGATAGTAAATTCAGAGTCAAAACTTGATCTCCCAGTTCTCTTACTCCAATGTCAAACTGTTAAACCCTGCACATCCCACCTTCAAGCTACAATATATTTTAACCTCTGTTCTTAACCCATTGCTAGGTATATACTCAACAGTCAAGTCATCAGAGACTTCATCAGGCCTGAGCTGCTCCTGAGAGGAGTGGAAACCATCCTGAGGATAAAGAGTCTGGTGGTTTTTTCAGATTAGGGCAGGTTTGTGGAAACATGGCCCATTTCAGAGGTCAGCATGCTTCTCAGAGTTCTCCAGCTGACTTAGCCCCTTCAGACAGGTCTGATGGAGAAGGCTTTGTCCTTCAGAGCCTGGATTCAGGGAGACTTTTTCCTACCTGCCCAGTATGTGGGTGACTAATTTTCCAGTCTCCAAATCTGGATCCATGCCTACCTATAAAGGGAAAGATCAGATTGTGGGTCTTCATGCAAGAGAGTGCCTCAGCCTTGAGCACAAAACCAAGTGCTGAGCAGTGCAGGAGAGGAGTATAACTTGGGACCACCCTGTCAGAGTTCTAGTATTCCTCAAATGAATGTCACAAGGTATTGCTGCACAGAGTTTGAGATTACAACACAGGTAGAACCACTCAGTTACTCTAGACAGGGCTACTCCAGACAGGGGACAGCTTCTCCCTAGGAGGAGGACAGAGTCACCTACCACAAGCAGAGTTTTGCTGAAAATTCAACCCTGCCTTTTCTGCTGATTCACTGAAGACAGTGGCCACCAAGTACCCTGAAAGCCTGTCCTCCAAGTGACACTGCACTGAGGAGGCCAAGAAGATTCTTCAGGATGGCTGAAGTGTAGTTCCTGCAGGGCTGCCAGGGTGTCGAGTTTAGCATAGCTGGCAGAGATTGGAAATGAGAAAGTCGGCTCTGTGTCAGAAGAAGCCCTTTTGAAGTCTCTGCTTTCATCTCCTGGTGCTCTCCCAACCAGAAGTGACAAGGAGAGATAAAATGCAATTTATTCACAAGCCCAGGAGGCTCATTTCCAAACACAATCACTGTGCCAGGCAGCAGGCCTTCTTCAAGAAAGACAAAAGAGAAAAAAGAAAAACCTCAAGAAAAGAGATGCTTCTGAGGAGAAGCAGGCCATTAGAGAAGGGCTTTGTAGGATGGCCTGCTAGGCAGGTCCAGAGAGCTAGCCTCAAAGCAAACTATGGGGCTCTGTTCGGGCCTGAGAGATCTCTGTCCTGGGCCTGCCCAACAAAAGCAAATGGCAGCCTTAGGGGATGGCTCTTATGATGTTAGAAACAAGGGAGCAAGTAAGAAATAAAGCCACAGGTGCTGGGCCTCTAAGGAATCAGGGCTCTGAAAAATAAAGTCAGGGCTCCCTCAGTGACTTCTTCAGCCCCGAGGCAGGCTCTTCTGGTTCACCAACCTAGATAGGACAGGTCGGGGTACAGGGCTGTGGGCATTCTCAGGCAATCCATGAGGCTGGAAGAGTCTTCTGGAGCCACTCTTGCAGCAGCAGGGGGCAGTGGCTTCCCCTCTCTGAGTCCCTCTGCTCTTCCTTGAGGGGGAGAAAAGAATATCTACTACATACTATTGGTTCAGGATTAAAAAAATAATGTGTGGAAAATACCAAAGCAGTGCCTGACATTCAAAAGGTATTCAAAACTTTTTTAACGTTCCCTCTTCCTACAGTGTGCTACCCTTGTTTGTTCTCCAGTCAGTTTTAAACCCATCCACTGGTCTCATTTCAGCTTCTAGATGAAATCTTCCCTACCCCTCCCAGACCCTCAGGTACAACTTCACTCACATTACCATCATGCCTGTTAGACCATCTCTCAGACAAACATGACTCATACTTAGACCAAACCCCAAATGTTAAAATCAGCATTGGGCCAGAACCAAATATCACCATTATGGCATGAGTGTCTGAAATTCAAGAACAAGTCTGAAATGTTACCAGCAATAGTCATTACTATAATTGTATCACTAGAAATTTTTAGTTGTTACATTTCATACATTATCATTCAGGAGCAAGGAGCTGTCTGATCCTACCACAGTCCTTAAGCTTCTGAGGGGCTCTTATTTTCAACCGCGGTGAGTGGCAGAACAGAGTATTTATATTTAGGGCCTGGCCCAGTTGTTTCCAATACATTTTTTCCTTTTGTGCTCATATTTTTTATTATGTCTTGACAGAGGGTGGTTTATCATGGATATTGTTGCACATGATTTTTAAGATTTTTTTTCACAGAATCCTAAGATTGACATATTCTTCATTCAAACTTGAAAACATGAACAATTTGCAAATAGGAATGACTTATGACCTAAATGGAATTTAAAAATAAAACCCTAAAAACAAATTTTAAAGGTCATTTTGATTAATGTGATAAAAACTAAAGCTGCAAACAATTCTAGATAAGAATTATGTTGTAACCTAATCTCTACATTCAACTTGTGTTGTTATTTAAAATTTTACAAATATTTCTTTCCTCATAAAGGACAGAAGCTTCTTCCTGAAGTTATCTAGCCAACACATTGTATGTTTTATTTTCCATTTAACTCTTTGCTTTCAGAATGGTCATGAGCTGTTGCACCATTTTAATTTTGTAATAATAATTATATACCTACCCCTCAACAGATTTCAACATATAAAGCACATAGGAGACTTTTTATTTGACTTTTCATATATTTGTGTGCCACCATACTCATATTTTAAAGGGCATTTTTAAATGGAACCAAGTCTTAGTGGAATACATCTTTGTATCACTGACCTTGGTATGCTGATTTTATATATTAGTCATCTATATGCTCCCAGCAGCTCTACAAAACCTCAAAAATGCAGCTGAAGTGGCCACTGAACTCTCAGCCCTCCAAAGGCCAATGCTAAAATCAGCCCCTCAGAGCAGATGTCAGGCAGAGCTGAAGGTCAGAGTGTGGCACTGCTTGAAGCAGTGTCGGGGCCCTCCACACTGCCTCAGTGGAGATGGCCTCCAGGGAATGAGTACTAGCCTGTTCTCTTCTAGACTCTAATGTCATGGCATGCCTTGGGCCAGAGTTTCTTCCAGCTTCTTTCACACAAGTTTTGGCCAGAGGCCCCCTGGTTGCCATGATATTAATGATGCCCTTCCTAATGTCAAAGGCCTTCCATACTTCCTAAAGCCCACTTATTATTCTCCTTTCCCAGAAAATACCTGGACCCAGTAGAGCTCCCCTTTTTACACTCCACAATGGTGGTCATGTTTCTCAGCAGCAGAACCACCATCCCTGAGAACCTTTGGTCATCCACTAAGCATTACAATCGTTTTCAGTGACATAAAATAACAGGCAGTAACAACACAGAATAAGTAGCACACATTCCAGATCATTACCTTCTCCTAGAGGCAAACACACAGAGAAAGTTCTTTCGAGAAGTTTTTGTTAGTTGAGAGGCTATGGGAACTTCAAAAATATGAGAAAAAGATACATAAATAATTTCCAAGAGAGTTAGCATTAAACAGACAAGGCATGTGTTGTAATTATCTGTTTGTGTATGTTTGCGTTCATCAGACTGGAAACTCCTTAAGTTAAAGGGCTAAGTCCTTTTGTCTTTCTATGCTCAATTGTTACAGTAGACTCTGCTATACCCCAGGGGCTTAATAAACATGGAATAAATGAAATAAAGAGAAATTTTTCAAAGGTAATCACAATTTCCCATTTGAAAACTCCTCTAGGGATGGAATACCTGGTCCAGACTAGAAGCCCTCTAGGCATCAGCTACCAGTTCTGGCCCAGAGCTGTCTTTTCAGTTTCCTGGTCACAGGACTCAAGGCCTCAGCCACTGAGGTAGAAGGAGCATAGCTGGACACAGGAGAAGAGCATGCTGACTTCCCTTATTCACTTCAGAGAGGCAGCGAAGCAGTCTGCTCCTGGCTGTTTCCACTTCCATTTTTAACAGTGCAGCTTCAATCTAGAACCCCAGTTGGCAAGAGCCACTGCCATCTCTTACTGATGGAGCTCACATGGACACCAGGCTGAATAGAGCCCTGAGTTCCTGGCACCATGCAGGGGTCAGGCACTATCTGGGGCTCCATCAGATCAGAGAAGCCTGCAGGACTGTCCTCCCCTCCATGAGCTCACAGAGAGTGGGCACAGACACATAGATAACTCTCTCTTCCTCTCTCCAAGCTCCCCATCTCTCCCATCTTGTTCTCACTCTCTCATAGTTGGCTACTCACCTGGGTGAGTCTATATTTAACTCTCTAAGGCTCATTAACTACAAAATCCCTAACTTTACCACCAGACCAATTCAGAGGAGTTATTTTTTGCCTAGAGTTATTCTTCCTTTTGAGTATTAATTTCCTTTAACACTTGCCCTATTAATCACTTTAACAATGAAATTAAGACAATTATTTTCATGAGATAATGGGTGATAAAGAGCAGACGATACACATTTATTACACAGTAGGCCCAAACGTCTTGATAAAAGTCAGCCCTGTCAATAATATATTAGGTAGGAATGCACTCCCGGAGGGTCAGGCTGAGGAATGTTCTGTTTCACTGATTTAAATATGCCTGCTTCTGTCAGTGCTGCTGCATTTATGTTTTCAGGCCCCATAAAATACAGTGCCAGTCACTGAGATGGACGGGGTGTTATTTTCCTCTGGACTCCAGCAGCAATTGCCAGAGATGTCCACTTTTGATGCTCTTTCCCCCCAGAAAATACTATTCCTTCTGTACTGTCTTCTTGCTCTTTGTTCTCTCTACCTCTTCAGGTCCTACCTTCTTTACTTTTTCCATCCTGCCCCTGATCTCTTCCCACTCCTTCTCTTCCTTCTGACTCCCTCACCTTTCACCTCCTTTCACCTAGCTAGACAGGGAGGAGGGCTAATGGAAATTTGTTTTCTAGTTTTAAATTATCCTCTTGTCCCCTAGGTTTTTTTGTTGTTTTTGTTTGTTTGTTTGTTTGTTTGTTTGTTGCTGAGATGATTCTAAGTTCTCTGGCATAGCCCACTTGCTCTTGTCTGTTCTCTTCCAGGCTAATGAGGAGGTTTCTATTCCCATGCCACCCTGGTTTCTGGGCACAAGGAGCCACAGTGCATGCTGGGACACACAGGAACTGAGATGAGACCCAAGGAATTCCAACTTCCATTTGCCTCTCACTTCTGTTTTGAATGGCCAAGGCTTCTGTCACTTCCTTGCTTCATCCAACACCTCAATATTTATCCCTCTCATCAGCTGCGAATTATACAAAAATTTTAGTAAGGGGAGGAAGTCCATTCCTTTGGCTTAAAAGCAGAAAGAGTTACAGCAATTCCACTTGTAGGCATATACATACACAAAAGTACTAAAATCAGAGACTGAAACATATTTGTACATCCATGTTCATAGAAGCATTACTCATGATAGTGAAAAGGTGAAAATAACCCAAGTATTCATCAACATGAATAGTTTGTGGTATATACATATACATCCACAATAGAATATTATTCAGCATTAAAAATGGAATTCTAAAACATACAATCCTTTGGATGAACCTGGAAAACAAAAGTATGTGTGCTATTGTAGTTTCTTACATTCAATATTTATTTGAGATACACACATGCATTTGTGTGAAGCTGCAGCTTGCTTATTTCATCCTGTACAGTACTCCACGGTGTAGATGTACTTTCACACAGATCTCTTGTCTCCACAGAAGCACCTGAGGTGGCATGTCTGTGCCTCTTATGCTCATAACAAACTACAGGTCAGAAAGGTTAAGTGATGCGTTCAAGGTCACAAAGCCGGGAAATATAAGAGTTGAATCTGAAACCCCAGTTTCATGACTCTTGGTCACAAATTAAAAGAGAAGAACTGGAAAGACCTTAGTATTGGAGTCCCCTTAATAAAGTTTTCCATGGCTGCATCTACCATAGGTCAGATACAGACTGACAATATTAAAGGGAAAATTTCAGACATAAATAATCCATATGTTTTAAATAATTTTTATTATAATATGTTGCTGTAATTGTCCTGTTTCATTATTATTTGCTGTTAATCTCTTATTGTGCTTAAGCTATAAATTAAGTTTTACCATAGGTAATATGTATAGGAAAAAACACAGTACATACAGGGTCCAGGACTATCTGAAGTTTCAAGCTTCATGCATCCACTGAAGGTCTTAAAACATGCCCCCACAGAAGAGAGTGGAACTACAATGTTGCAACAGTTAATATTTTTGAGCATCTACTACATGCAAGGCCCTTTACTTGTATAATCTCATTTAGGCCTTATGAGAAAGGCACCATTTAGTCCTTATTTACACTTTCAGTTTCTCACACCAGAGAAACTATTCGGTATTTATACATGTGTGTCCTATTTATTTCACTTAAGAGTATTGCCTCAATGTGCATCCACTTAGCTATAAATCTCTCTAATTTCTCATTTTTTATGGCTGAGTAGTACTCCATGTATAATAGGTAATGTGAAATAGGAAGAAAAGGGGCAAAGGGGAAGGAAGTGGGAGGGCTAGGGGAAAGGATAGAAGGGAGTGGGATTAATATGAGAAAATGGAAAAATAGGAACAAAATCTTTGTAAATAGGGAAGAATGGGGGAGTTGAAGGGAGGGCTGGGCAAGGGTGAAAAGTAAGAACCAAGAGAGACTATGTAAAGGTGCAAATTTCCAATGATGAATGTCGTTATATTGTATACCTAAAATGTACCAATGATTAAAATGAATAATTGAAAATGTAAAATAGGAAGAAAAGGTCCAAAGGGGTAGGGGTAGTGGGAGGGGCAGAGGAAAGGAAAGAAGGGAAAGGAAAACTGCTGAGAAATGGAAAAAATGGAAATAAAGTCTTTGTAAATAGGGAAGGGTGGAGGGGGTGAAGGGAGGGCTAGGAATGGGGAAAAAATAAGAACCAAGATGCATTATGTAAAGGTACAATTCCCAATGAGAAATGTAAATGTGTTGTATACCTACAATGTACCAATAAAATAATTTAATAAAGTGCAAAAACAAAAGATGAAATACATTCAAAACAAAACAAAACAAAAAAAGAGAGAGAAAGGCACCATTATTAAATCCACCATACAAGCAAGGAAAATTAAGTGTAGAATGGCTAAATCAATTGACCAAAATCACATGGCTGACAAATGGAAGAAGTGAAACTCAAACTCACCTATTGTTTTAGCACGTGTGGCCTAATAAGTATGGTTCATTGCTAACCAAGATCAGAGGCTCAGTTGATGAGAGTGCTTGAGGCCCAGAACAGAGAAGGGTCCAGTAATAAGAGGGATTTGGGCAAAAGCAAGTGGATCTTGTGGAATAAATTTCAAGCGACAGTGCCGAGTTTCAAGCCAAAGCCAAAGTCACTACACAGGACACAGAAAATATGTCTCCCCATTACACTTATATGTGTGTAGGCCCTAGGAAACTGACACAGAGAAACACTTCTGCTTGGATAGGAAAAACTGTATAATGGATGAATGAAGGGAGCATGGTTCAGGCTGGGCAGGAATTCCCTCGGTCTTATCTAGAAGGATTTACTGACTAAAAAGAGGGTGAGTCAAGTGATCAATTTATGCTTTAAATTAGGGGCAGGTCAACTGGAAATGGTGAAACCTGATCCTTGTGATCAGATAATAGCATAAAACCCAATGAAACAGGATGTGCTCTTAAATGATGGCATATGATCTGCTGCTGAAATTGTGCCCTTGGAAGGACTCAGAAAGCAGAAGCCTCCTTTGGGGGCACCTACAACATGGCTGAAAGAGAAGACCCACCAGTGTTTGCATCTTAAGCCTGCCTGGTATCCATTGCTCCACCTTTTATTACATTGTTTGTTATTCAATGGATATGGAGCATCTACTCTATGGGTGGATACTCTGTTAGCTTTGGGAATGCAACAGTCACTGGATACAAGCTAGCCTCTAGCTCTATAGAGCTCCGTAGGTGAGGGTGTGGGTGTGGGTGTAGGGTAGGGTGGGAGTGATCAGAATGGGAATACAGATGCCACAGTATATGGAGGGGAGAGGCACAGTGCCAGGGACACCTAGAAGGGCACCTTGTCCAGGGTTGGGATTAAGAAGACTTCATGGTGGGAGTAACATCTAAATTTTACTCCAAATAGGCTGGTGGGAAAAGTGTTTAAGTGGGAATGGGAAGTAATACAAACAGAAGAAATAACATATGCAAGAGCATAGAGGGTAGATTGCTGGAGATCTCTTGATTCTGCAGAGACTAGAGATCTAAAGGTCTTCCATTTGGAATGGGACCATTCCAGCTTTTATGCCTTGGTTTCCAGATTAACACATCTTTCCTAATTGGGACACATCACACAAAAGGCTTATACTTTATGTACTTAGAGGGTAGCATCCCATCCTTGCAGACTATTGTCTTCAAGCTGCTGTTTCAACTATTCCTTCAACAAGCCACGCCACTACTCCATCTGCCTGGTAGTCTCTGGATGGTGAACAATCTGAGGGGGCTTGTAGATCCCACCTACTCCTGTAACTTCTTTGATACAGCATGTGTCTCACTGATCTACTGTGATGTAATCTGAGATTTTATGCCAATGGATCAAGCATTTAAAAAGTCTGACAGACAGTAGCTGTGTTCAGAAAAGGCAAATTGAAACTCAGGGTGCATGTCTAATCCTATGAAAATAAGCCACTGACACTGCGGGATGGAAGAAGTCTAGTGTTGTCAACTTAGAATCTAATGCCTGGTTGGTCTCCTCAAGGCATAGTACTATATATTGGGGACCTGGCATCGGTTTCTGTCTGCAGCAATTTACTCATTAGCTAGATCAGCCTTGATTGGTATGAGTTCATGATGAAGCCCACTGATAGTCTTCATCTCTTTTACCATGGTCATTTTATTCATGTTCTCACCATGGCAAGATCTGGGAAGTCAAATGTAGAATCTGGCTAATATCAGCTAACAAGGTCATTTGTCAATTTGGCCTTTTAGTATCTTCTATGGTAGGTGCTTTCTGGTGCCCTTCACAGTTTGTGCCATCTCCCATAGGTTCATCAACATACCACTACCCACAGACTTCTTGTTCCCAACATTCCATTTTTCCCCATTGAAACCCTAACCGACTGCCATGAGTCTAATATGTATGTATTTATAATTTTTACCTCCAGCCTATTCTCTGCCTACACAAAATAGGTAACCAACCACACAGTCCAAAGCTCTACTCATTGGCCATTGTCTTCTTTTTTATTATTAAACCATTATTTTGAGGTAATTATAGATTAGATATGCCCTTTACCCAGTTTTGTCTAATGTTTACATCTTGCAAAGCTCCAGTATATGATCAAAACCAAGATAATGACTGACACAGTTAAAACACAGAACAATTTAATCACCACAAGGATGCTCTATGTTGCCTTTTTATTGCCACTCCGACTTTTCTTCACCTCAGCCCCATCTTTAACTCTTTGAAACTAACAGTCTTCATTTCTTTAACATTGTCATTTCAAGAATCATATATAAATGGAATCATAGGCTATATAATCTTTTCAGATTGGCTTTTTTTTTCACTCAACATGATTCTCTGGAGATTGATCTAAGTTGTGTATATCAATACTTTATTCCATTGTTCTGAGTAGTATCCCATAGTATAGAAGATATACCATAGTTTGTTTATTCATTTACTTGTTGAGGAACACTTTGGAGCTGTTACAAATAAAACCACTATAAATATTTGTGTACAGAACTTTGTATGTAAGTAAGCCTTCATTTCTCCAGAATAAAAGCCTAATCAAATGTTGTTCGCTGGGTACCCAAGTTATGCTTCCTTTGTCATGACAAGAGGCCTAGGTTCAATAATTTATCCTTTACTTTGAAGATGTCCTAGCACTGAAGCACTGACACTTTTATGGATTTGACAGGCTCCTGGGTCTTCCTAAGGTTTATCTTTCATTTTCTGGTGCTCATGTGTTACACCATGGCCTCCTCAGCAAAGGCATGACCTTCTACAGAGCAGCTCTCTGCAGCTGAGGCAGAAGCTGAAGGAGCTAGCAGCTGGAGGCTGTGCCCATCTCCCCATGCTGGTCTGCTAGATCTTTCTTGAAAGGGGACGTAAGTGACCCAGTGCCATGTCTACCATACATATGTACCTTATTCATCCTTAGGACGATCCCTTACTATGGGATAGTCTCCAGTGAACCAGTGAGCAAAATAAGGCTTTAGAAGTTAAATACATTTATCTGAGATTCCACAGAGAAAGTTCAGTAATCTGAGTGCAGAACCTACTACATAAACCACCCAGGACAGTCTGGCTCCTGTAAGCATTAGGTGAATGATAGTGTGTTATTATCATTTGTTAAATAATTCAACTGCACAGTAGTGAAATGTTGACTATTCAATCAGGAGGAGCTGATTTTTCTCTTAGACAAGATATGGAAGAATAGAGAGCTTAGGAAGTTGAGAAATAGTATTAGCTTAGGAGGCTGCTGATATCAGCTGTTACAAGGATAGGGCTCCTCTGGTTAGGGTCCCATTTGGGACCCTGGGATTAGGAGCCCATATGCAAACCAAAAGCCTGGCCTCTCTATGTCCTCCACTCAAGTCTGCATGTTTGTCATCCATGCAGGTTTAGCTGCACCCAAAGAATGAGCAAGAAATCTCTTAATCTACTTAGGTGTTGGCCCAGACTTTTAATTCCAGCACCTACGGGATACTTGGCCTCCCATATGGCTCTTCCAGCATCCTTCTGCAAGCGGGTCTTCAGGAGATGAAGGAGGGTGCCAGCTGAGTCACATGCATGTCGTGTTTAAGAGGGGTTGGGAAGGGATCCAGGACCCAGCAAACCTCCAGACAGGGTGCGTTGTTTCCAGCGGTGGGAGCCCAGGCGTCTCTTCGCTTCTCCCACACATTCCTTCCTTCTCCTACTTCCCTGGCCTCATGCCCATTCTTGCCTGCTCCTCCCTTGTCTCACACACGGCAGGGATTCAGAGGCACAGGCATTTTTCTTCCATGAAGGAAACAGCCCCCTCAGTCTGACGCCTCCCTGGGTCGATAAGACATGGGACACACAGCCAGGCCTAGAGCGGGCTGAGGATCTGGGCTACATCTCTCTGCAAAGCTGTCACGATGTAAGGAGCCTCAGTCTCCTCCTATTCGAAGAGGTGATAAGCAGGGTGTCTCACTGGAATCACCAAGCTGTCTGCTCCCCAACCAGGAGTCCAGGCTGCTTTCATTAGCAGCCACAGCAACAGCTGCTTGCATTTACTGAAGCTTACTGTTTGCCAGATATTAGGCAAACATTGTAAGCACTACTTTACTCAGCCTTTATAATTACCTTCTACAGTCAGCACTACCCCATCTCCACTTTACAGATATGGCCAAATTAATAACATCAGACAGTTGAACTGTGTGCCAGGCCCTGTTCTAA